AAACCGTAAAAAAGTCACTCATTCAAAACAAACTGTATTAAAAAAAAAAAAAAAATTCCTGCTGTGTTAAAGTAGCCCATGTAGTTACATTAAAAAAATAATAATAATAAAAAAAAAACAATGATAAACAGCTTTCAGATATCAGAAGATCATGATATATTCAATGCTTGCTGTCTGATACATTACACATGGTCCATTGCGTGTAACAAAACACAAACATTGGTCACAGCCATCAACATCCTTCAGTTTGAGCAAGACGCAGCAAGCCTCCAACTCATTAGCGCTAGTAGCTGGTAATGGCACAACTCTAAATGGATTCTTTGATACTCGAGAGGACCGATTCATTTTCTCAATCAAAACCCATCTTTCTTATTAAATTATTGCTATTGATTTGAGTGGCTGCTCCTGCGAAATGTATAAACCTTGACGTGGTTTACACCTGCCCCACTTCTTGTTTTGCTAGTTAAATGCAAAGCTCATTTGGAAGCCGGGCTCTTTCATGTAAGTAATTGTGTATATGACTCTGCCATTACTGCAATTTCTACAAAAATGGAAAAAAGTGGGTGTCGACTCCCAGCTGCAAATAAATGGATTGGAATAGAGCGAATTGAATCAATTATTGCTTTGAGGTCAGAAACTATTAAAATCGTTTTCCCTCACTCGTCATTGATTATCTGTTTGCCTTGAGCTCAATCTCATTTTTGCTGTAAAACGTGGTCTGAAACGAAATGAAGCAGCAGTATTCTGGAGTTTTCAATTCTAGCTGCATGTGCATGTATTTTGTGTGAATGTAAACTAGATTTGCAATTCCTGATGGCAATACTGATGTTTGCAAGTAAAGAGAAAGGACCATGTTAAAGCTTGAGGTAAGTAAAGGTTCAGTGCAACATAAAAGTTGCCTTAAAGAACTGTCATATTTACCATTGCTTGGTGAAATTGAGTAATTTTAAGGAAATCTGCATGATCGGGAGTTTGGGGTGATGACGAAAAAGTTCCCACGCTGATTTCACTGCGCTGACCAACAGAAAGCTGCTTGGTTTGAAAGTGATGCTTTATACATCACTACACTATATTCACTATTGACCTGTTATTCCAAAATTTCACGGATATTTTGCTAATGTACAATTACCGCACCTTCAAACTTTGCTGCTATTGCAGATCTGGCTTGCAACATTTTCGATCAGTTTCCCCCTTTTTTCCCCAACATAATTTCCTGTGACAAAAACTTTATGTATAAGTAGTAAAAACTGTGCTTTTGTCTTTTTCTCTCTCTTGTTCTGATTTTTCTCTCAGGGTCAGAAGGTGAATAACATCTAGGGCGTGACCTTTCCTGAGGCATGATGAGAGAAATTAAAATGATGCGGAAAAAATTAATTCTGTTAGTCATCTGACAGAGGAACTGGCCCACTTATTCTCAGGCTCTAAGACCTCTGCATCTGAACTTGTGGCACCAGAAATCATCCTGGGTTTTAACAGCTCAAGCAATGTTTCCTTCCGTTCTTCGGCAAAATATTCCCTCTTAAAACATTCATCTGCTTGAGAAAAATGGGTAAAAATGGTTAAGAAGATCTAAGAAACAAACTACCATGAACAATTCAAAATGTGAACGTCAGAGCTGTGGCTTAGTGCACATTAGACCATGATGCTCATGTGGAAAATATGAGTTCAGATCTGAATTGCAACCTTTCCGATCAAGTCCCCCTGTCTTTCACCAAAATCATTTCATGTGATAAAGATTTTATTACATATGTGAGCAATGTTTGTTGTTTTACTGGTGGAAAAAGTCCGTTTGGGGAAACCCATCTTATCAGTATACTTGTTGAGCAAGTTATTGTCTGTGACATCTTTAAGGTACAATAAATAACCAGGAACAGCTCCACGGACACTGAGATCCTAAAATATTAGGGGCCAGGACAACCTGGGGATGAGTCCAAGGAGCTGTCAGGTGTTTTGTGGAAAAAAATGAAGCAAATGTGTTTTTCATTCTCTCATGTCTTCTCTAATAGAGTGTAGGTGCTGGCCTTTCCTGCGGGTCGACTCTCTTTCCTCGTAGTCTGGTGTCTCTATGGAACAGCACGAGGTGTCGAGTGTGTCGCGTGTGTGGGAGTGTGTGCTTCCTGTCAGAGCGGGCACGGTGTGTAGCCTTGAGTTGTAGCAGCCCCAGAGGGGCCTGTTCAGCCACCTTACCGTCAAGTTAAGATAATGCACGTCCTGTCAGCTATTGATCGCCCTCTCTCCATTCCCTTTCTACTCTTCAGAAAGTACAAATGAGTCTCTCACCTACTCCTGCATGTGCTAGCACCTCATAAAGGCCCTTCGAGCATTAAGGGGGGAAAATTTGAGAGCACACGTGTCGCTCTTGAAGACGTACTGTATCCGCTTCTGCTTTTTTCCTCTCTCTTGTTCTGACATTTTCTCTCACGGCCAGAAGGTGAAAAACATCTGGGTCATGACCTTTCCTTAGGCATGATGAGAAAAATTCAAAAAGACTTTGTCAGTCATTTGACGGAGGAACTCCTGGCCCACTTGTTCTCAAGCTCCAAGACCTTTGCACCTGAACTTGTGGCACCAGAAACTCTCCTGGGATTGAACAGCTCAAGCAATGTTTCCTCCTTCCTTTCTTCATCAAAATATCCCCCCTTAAGGTATTCATCTGCTTGAGAGAAATGGGTTTTGTTAAATTAGCCATTTTCAAGAACCCTGTTTTTCAGTTTCTCCTCAGGTAATATTAGGCATTATATAACATCTGAAGAGCACTCAATGATGGATTCTTTGGGGTTTTTTTTGTTAACGTAACTCAAGGGTTTACGCAAGTAATTACTGGTCAGAGAGTCTATTTCTGCCACCTTTCTCTCACATTAAACCCTCATTGGATCGAAGGACTTTGACAGCACTTAGAGAACAACAGCGAGATACCTCTCAAGCCAAGCTAATTGTTTCCAACTCTGAGGTAATTAGCAACCTCAGGGAAACCATGACAGTGACACACTGCAGCTCCAAGAGAAAAGCAAGTGTTTGGCCGATGCAAGCATACATCTTCTTCCTGCCTCTCAGCATCTGTTCCTGTAAACACCGCCTCATTACTTCATTCAGGATGTTCTGGTGTTTTACCAGAACATACCTGGCACCATCACCTGCATTACAATAATCTGGAGATCTTTGGAAACAAAAAGAAGAGTCTGAGCAATGACTACAAAAGCATTCAATCGCTTTGTATTCATCAACCAGCCCGCAAAGTACGCCAAAAAACACTCAAGCTACATCAAATTGAACGGAGACGGTTTGTGAGCTTCAATTTCAGGTAATTTTAGAGATGTTCGATTGGATTGAGATTTGTGTTTTGACTGAGCCACTCAAGTTCAAAGCCTGTGTGGTTTTAGCCATGTGTTTCGGGTCATTTCTTGGTGAAAGATGGAACATCTTCCAAGTTCCAGTGCTTGCTTACTGCTGCATGTCCCCGCCCCCCCAAACTCTGAGTTCTAAGCGCAATACACTTTGCTTCCATTTTTTTCCAGTCCTTTTGAAGAAAAACATACTCAAAGTATGATGCTGTAATAACTATGCTTCATGTTAATCTGGTGTAATGTATTGTGACTTGAGGTTTACACATATAATCAGTTTTCAGAACGTGTACATATCAGATTCACACTCTCACATGCTTTTTTTTTTTGCACCATTTCCATACTATCTGCCTTGATGTATATGCGAATGTTGTTTCATGCACTGTTTCTCCCATCTCTTAAATTACTGTAGGCCTCTCTCTGGCCTTACTATGGGCCTTATTTCCCAGACACTCAGTTCTGGAGGACGGCCAGTTCTGGGACAGATTCACTGTTGTTCCACCACAACAGTGAAGACTGACTTTGCTGGACTGAGCTTCTAGGCATATTCAATGCCTTGGAAATTTTTTATGTCATCGTCTTGACTAGAATTTTTCAAGAGTCTAGTCTCAGATTTCTGTGGAATGTGCTAGACTTTCTTTGTCCCTGTTGATATTAACAGCTGTTTGGGATACAAATCACAAGTGGACAACACTGCCTAAAATCCTTTTTAATCGGTTTTCTTATCTTGTTTTCAAGTCAAAACATCTTAACATTCTTAAAACAAGTTTCATTTATCTGAGAAACAAAACTGAGTCAAATAATTTTGACTTGTTTTCAGCTAATCTTGAATAAAGGTATTTGTTTTCCCACTTTTTTGCCTTTGGTAAGAAAAACAAAACCTAAAACTAATACATGTATGCTTAAAATTGCTTATGGAAATAAATTAATAAACTAAAAGAGAAAATTACTAATAAATTAGTGTAAATATCTGACAAAAAATAATTTGGAAATCAAGTGGAACACTTCAAATAAGAAATTACAGTGTGTGGTAAATGCTTTGGTATTCAAAGTAAACATTTGGCATTTTATGTTCTTTATGCAATAATTAATAATAAAAAATAGAGACTGCATACCTATGAGTACTCTGAGTTATGACAAACTCTTGAGTTCAATGTACCAAAAGTGTGTGTTGACACATAATAAATTTGGAAAAGGTCCAAAAGCATCAATATGAGTTGGACTTTGTTAATTGACTTCTCTTTTATTGAGGCTATAAGATAAAGGCGATCAAATTTAAGTCGCACATTTAAACACTATTGTTCTGTTCCAAAATGTAGTGAGCTACCTGTATAAGCAGCATTTTAAGGTATCATAAACATGTTATGATTGCAAAGGTTATTCCAAAAGGTAGGTTAGTAAATTATGCTACAGCCCTGTGATCCATCTAAATTCCAAGGCAGCATCAAATATTATTTGAAAGAACCTTTCAGTGAACAGATCTTAAAATAAACTTGTGTGTGTGTGTGTGTGAATAACATTTTAATTATCTTAAGAACCATTTTCCACTATAAAGAACCTTTTGTACCATGGAAAGGTTCTGTGCATTTTAAATGTCCTTCATGGAACCATCAATGCCAATAAAGAACATTTATATTGCCTATGTAGTACCTGCATATGTATAATGTTCCAAAGCTGCCTTAAAAACTAGTTTCCTTTAGGTATTCCACTTATGGAACATATTTATATGTCAGTAAAAATGTCTCGATTCGACTCGATAAGATGTGAATATCTTTGAGTCAAGTCATAACATTTGACAACACAGAGAATACAGATTACGTAAAAAAAAAAATCGGATTATATCAGACTACAGGAGCTCAGAGACATCAAAATCAATTAGGTCTATAAAAAGGCATGCAAGATGAATGAAACTCCCTGAACCCTGAGGTGATGCATCCTTGAGTTCATCTCTGGTTCACTCAGGCTTGTATACATATCTTTACACCAGTTTTCTTTGGTGCCAAGAGTCTTTTTTATATTGATATGGTCTATCAGGGCATGTGCTAGCAGATAGTATGGAGCACAAGATTTGAAAATAAATTCCCTTACCTGGAGTCGGATGATCAAGGAGTGGAAGCAGGAGAAACAGCGGGCAGAAACAAAAACAGAGAGAGAACGAGATTAAAAAGATACATCAGGTTTCTCATGGTTTGTTTCCCATACAAAACATTACAGTGATACCAAGCTAAATAAATTGTTAGGTCATCCGTGCTCATGTCAGACTAAAAATAATAACACAGCAAATAAGACAACATAGCTTGTCACATCAAATTACTTTTCTTCTCTCTGGTAAACGCTATGATTAATTTGTCAACACAAGCTCCCCGGTAGAGCTCCGCTGGTGTGTTTGGCATGACAAGCGGAATTAGTCGAGGAAAAACAAAAGCCCTTCTGGAGACTTCAGCCTAATCTAGTAAAGCCGGTTCAACCTTTAAATGCCACCATCTATAAGGCCTCGGTACCGAAGCAGCTTTTATCTTTATAGACTCTCGACTATTCTCATGGATTCTAATGGATGATTCCTTGTTTTGTACTTTAGACTCACATGGACATGAATTACTCCCTTTTACGCACTAACGACAAATGAAATGGAAAACAGCGAGGTGTGGAACAGAGAAGGATCCGTCCGCCTCTATCCCAAATTGCTTCCCTGTTGTTAGACTGACAGCACAGACACTCCCGAGACTATTTCAGGGGAGCGCTCGGGATAAGGAACGTTGTCTGCTGCTGGACCTCCGCTGGGAGAGCGGATTCAGTCGTATGTATGGCTAAACACTAGAAACAGTTGTTGGGGAGCGTGTTGGAGCGTCTTGGGGATTGGAAGGCACCCTAGGGAGCCAGAGTCCAGCTGAGCGCATCTCGGTATGAGCTTCACCCAGCTCTGAATACTGATGCCTATGACTGATTGCCTTGTCTGGGAGATCTAATTTGAAAGGTGGACAGTGATGAATGTCTCTTCCTACGCTCACGGCCTGTCTGATGTATTATGCATCTACGGCTGATCACAGGACCTGACGAGGTGCGTTGAGACGGTACGGTGCGACCAAGGCCGGACGTGTCCGTCGCACCATGACACTGTTTATATAAATGACTGCATCTCCGCCACTTATATCGTTCGCAGCTACGCTGGAAAGCTAAAAGGGGCTGGCGTTAATGGGGGATGACTGACTGCAGCCATCCGGCCCACGTGTTTGATGGGCCACAAATTTGACAAAGTCTCTTAACACCGAGACCGAACTGGTGCGCCCTGTCAGAGGGAATTGTAATTGTCAGAGACGTAAAAGCGTTGAGCTATCGGCTGCCAAACTACCACTGTGATCCTGCTGTCCGTGTGCATTCATACCTACCATGAGATCCACGTATAGTTTTTCGGGCTCTTTTTCTCTGACACAGTCAGAACGACCCTTATCTTTACTACCTGTCAAGTCCGACCATCTGATTTAGGAGCGTACGCTTTGATCTCAGAGTACAGATCTGCATGTTTTGATGCTGACGCTGTTTCGCACTGCAAATGCAAGACTTAAACCCTGCTATTAGCCTGCAGGAGAAACAGGCAGGGAGACCGTGTTGGGTTTTGTTCCTCACTCCAGGAAAACAATATGGGTAATTGTGTCTCTGATTCTTTGTTTAACCCTCCACCAGGAGAGCAGTTTCTGCCACATCCCTCCAGCTCCTGAGTGCCCTATCAGACACACGTTTTTAATGCACACTAGCACTGTAGTGGCTGTGACCGAATCACCGGCGGGCCCCGGGGGGCCCAACGTAGGCCCTAACAAGTTTAAAGCTCCTCTAATTGAGTCATTTTCGCATCAACAGTGGTTTCTGTCAGAAGGGTCTGGTGTTCTCTTGCTTTCAGATGTGATTTACTCCCTCTCCAATGGTCAGAGCATGACTATCGACCCGGAAGGTCTGCGTCAGGTCAGAACATCCCAGTTACATGGGCCTAGTCTGCAAGTTTCATAGGAGATAGTATGCACAGCGGTATTAATTACTAAAAAGAAACTGTAACTAGAAACTAAGCTACATACCAGGCTACAAACTACTTTATACTTCAACTACCTTAAAGTAGTGTGCTACACTATGACCACTTTTAAAAACTGAAGTTATATAGGATGAAAATAAAATAAAATAAAATACAATTTTAAAATATAAATACATTTCCCAAGAAGAGTGACCAATATAACATTTTACACTGAATACACAAAATAACACTGGTATATTAGTATGTGTTATGAAGTATGTGTATTAGTATAACAATGTGAAAAATAAGCATCTCCAATAGGGACACAACAAATGATGTCAATTCAACAGATAAAGCACAAAAAGAGTTAGAATTGGTGTATGATACACTGCCACTCCAGGCTTCTATCTACAAA